AGGTCGGCGCGCGCACGCAAAACTGTCACACTCTCCCTCTTTTCATTGATAAATATTGACTACAGCAGTTGGATAATAAATCTCTTATAAGATGATTTGGTGTGTAGTATCGTTTTATATTTTTACTCGTTTGTATTTTGACTCGCCCGACGGGCTCGTCAAAATACGGCACAACTCGTAAAAATATACAGCGATACTACACACCAAAACATCTAATAAGATATATGAACATGCGCACAGAGCGTACTCGCTGTAACTAATGCTGGCTCATCCTCTGATCTCGATTTGCTGTGACCAAGAGGCTCGCCGCCTCTGGGAACAAGATTGAGTAAATTGAAACTGTGTTATCCATTTGCTCTTTACAACGCCAGGGTTTTAGTGCCGATTGTACACCGATGAGCATACACTTTACTCTTATAGGCGAACGGTCAGTTAATTCTGCTCTAGGTTGCCAGTTATGCATGGGGACTCAACTGCGTTATAGCTTTTATTCAAGTGTAAAACAAAACACAAACACACAAGAAGTGAATTTTATAATATATTTAACTGGCACTTATTTTACTTCCAGCTAAGCTTAAAATACAGGTTCTGTTCTCAATCTTTAATTATGCCAATGTTATTCTGTCATAACTGACACTACTTGTTATTTATGTCTCGATTCTAAATCCATGAAAGTCTATGAAGGGTTCAAGGGCTGTCTTAACCTAAGAAGCGAAATGTGACGTAACCATCCCCTTTGACGCATGCTCCTGTCTGCATTTCACCAGGAACAAACGAACCGCCACCGCCTGATATGAAGATGTCCGCAAAGCTTCCGTTAACACTTCCTCCAGAGTATCCTCCCCCTCCCCCTGGTAGAAAAAAAGATGATGCTCCACCTCCGCCAAACCCGCCATCACAGCAGAGATAATAAAATTGAGTTCTACCTCTTCCACCGTTTAGAAATGATTCGCCAGCACCCCAACCCGTGATTTTACATTTTTTACTTTGATTGAAGCATTCACCATCACCACGGAATCCTCCGCCACTGCTTGCTCCAACTATTTCCCTCCAGACACATGGTTCCACACAAATCAGCCGGCCACCCTGTCCAACAATGCCAAGCATCAATCCTTCAGCTTCTTCAGCTAGTCCTGGTCCACCGTCTCTTAAGCTTTTATAGGCCTCATATGGCTGCCCTCCACCCCTCCTGCAATACTGAGAGGGGTACTGTTGGAAGAAAAAAACACAGAAGATCCTCCACCACCACTACCTGCAAAGATTGGATAGTGCTGTTCAGTAACTTGGTGGCCCACAAACACGGTGAGTTTGGTTCCCTCCTGAAGATGGACTGTACCATTTACCCTCGCCCCTTTACCCCCGTATGATCCACCGCCTGAGGCACCGCTCATGTCAACGTGGTAGTAGCCAGTTAAGGGTGCACTCCACTGTTGCAGACCATTTGTCACGTTTACATTTTCAAGGGAGGAGCCTTTGTACCCGGTATTTGATGTTGGACCTTTCTTGCCAGTAGTGTTAAGTGTAGTGAAGTGGAACTTA